TCTGAAATGTTTCTGCCAATCCATCAATGGAAAGGCTACAGTGAACCAGCCTGCACCTGACGAAGAAACAGTATTGTTCTGAGCCCAAGAACAATACAATAAGAATGCAGCTTGGATAGAGGAGTTTGTTAGGAATAAAAAAGAAGTTGAAATTTAAGAACTAATAATAACAGCACCAATGGTGGAGAAAAGGGCAAGGAAGATCAAGAATTGATCAGCAGCAAGTGAAGATAAACTGCATGGGTTTTGATTTATCTACACCCATTCATTGCCAAGCAGTTTAACAACATACTGCAAGGAGGTGAAGGTTAGTTAACATTTGGCAAACCTATCTGATAGTGGAAAATTCAACAGAAGGGCAGCACCAGGCAATTACAGACCAATTACCTTTTTACCAATTTACCTTTTTACAACTTTCAAATTGCTAACTAATGTGGGAGCTGATGCAGGTCAACACTATCTAGTTGAAAACAATGTCTTTCTATCTGAACAGAAGCAGAACACCAAATAGCAGAGGAACAAAATAACAGTTTCTAATTGACACCATAATTTTGTTGTGAAAGCTGCAAGAGAAGGAAGACCAACTTGAATGTAGCTTGGATTGATTATGAGAAGGCATTGACTTCCTATGTATGATTACATAGTCAGTAGCAAGAGTCAGTAGAAACACCAAACTTTTGTGCAAAGATCAGTGGCATAATGGAAGAGGTGATTGCTGGTCAATGGCGACACACTGGGAGAGATTAATATCAAGTGAGGAATCTTTCAAGAAGACTCACTACTGTTGCATTGATTCCTTTGTCAACAATGCTGAATAAGTCAGGCCATGGCTATCAAAAACCAAAATCATTTATCAGGCTGTCCCACCTCCTTTACATGAACAATCTAAAGCTATATAGAAAAACAGTGTCTGAAATAGAATGACTACTCAACATTGTTCATATTTACAGCCAAATATTGCAGTGGAATTTGGACTGGAAAATGGGGGAAAATAGTAAACTGAAGGAATCAAGATAATCTACAAAAATAACTGCAATGTCTGGATGAAGACAATTGCTACAAATACCTGGACATCCTTTAAACTGATAACATCAAGCATACTGAAGTCAATAAGGTGGTTAGAAATAAATCAAGAAGGCGGTTAGAAAGAAATACTCAGTGGAGGAAATAGCATCAAGGCAATAAACACCTGGGCAATTCCAGTGTTTATTAAATATATCATGTGATCATGACTTGCATGTCACATTAGCATGACTTGCAACTTCCTTTTGGCTTCCCCATTAACTTTTCTTGTCAGAAGCCAGTTCGGAAGGTTGCAAATGGCAATCACACGAGTGCAGAACATTGTAAGCATTGTAAATGGATTATATTGGGGGCAATAAATATGTCCATTATATTGAGAGATGTCTAGATGTCAACATAGCCCATTGTATCAAAGGTCTGATATAAGAAAAGCACTTTAAATTCAATGCATACTAATTATATTATAAAAAATGATTTTTGAAGAAATCGTAACAATAAGACATAACAATTGGAAAAACTAACCATGGATTTCACCATCTGTAATGGGCTGTATGGAATAACCCAGTGGTGGGTTGCTACCAGTTCGCACCGGTTCAGGAGAATCAGTAGTAAAAAAAATTCAGTCACTCGGAGAACTGGTAGTAATGGCTGTCTGGCCACGCCCCTGAACTGGTTGCCCGGCCGCCATGTTTATCGCCGCCATGTTCTTCATGCATGTGCATCCTATTGCCTTGCAAGTCCAATGGGATGTGCATACACAAAGAACATGGCAGCCATGGCAGCAGCTTGCCTTCAGAGAAAGCAGCTGGCAAAGAAGCCTTTTCAGCCATGTCCAGAGGCAGCGGCTGGCTGGGGGCTGCTGAAAACTCCAGTCAGCTTGCCTTCCTGACTCTGGACCAACTGCAGTGGAAGGTAAGCAGCCAAACAAAGAGGCAGTGCTGGGGGAGGAAGGCAGGCAAGCGGAGAAGAGTGCATGGAAGGCAGGCAAGCATGTCAGGGCCACCCGGCCGTAGGGAAGGGAGCTACTAGCTCCCCTCCCTTCCCTGCAGACTGCCTTCCTGGCACGTGGAAGGCTTGCCTGCCTTCCACATGGCCTTCCTGGCACTTCCCCACGCCTTTGCCTTCCGAGGTTGGGAGACGTGCCACTTCCAGCCCGGCCAGTGGGTGGGTGGGTAGCCCTTCAGGGAGACAGAGTCGTTGTGCTGGGGCTGAGAGGAGCAGCGGTGTTGTGGGAGGGCAAGTGGATTTCCCAGAGCTGCTGCACATGTACACTGCATGTGAAGGGAGGCAGACACCACAAAAGCCATGCAGGAAAACTCCCCAGGAATACCAGGATGCCCTGCTGCCGCTGTCGCCACCGATGCCTGCCACCACCGCGCCACCTCCTCCACTTGCCCTCCCACTCCTGCGGCAAAAGCCACGCAGGAAAACTTCCCGGGTGTTCCAGGACGCCCCGCTGCCGCTGCCTGCCGCAGGAAAAGCTGTGCAGGAAAACTTTCCGAGTGTTCCGGGACGCCCCGCTGCTCCTGCCGCCGCTGCCTGCCACAGCAAAAGCAGCACAGGAAACCTTCCCAGGTGTTCCGGGAAGCACCGGTGCTGCTGGTGTTGTTGCCACCGCCACTAGGCACTTTCTCTCGGGCCTCCTGATCTCTCTCTCCTAGGCTTTGAAGGAGTGTGGGGGGGAGAGAGAGAGAGAGAGAGAGAGAAAGAGAAAGAGACCAAGAAAATGAGAGAAAAAAAGAAAGAGGAAGGGAGAGACAAGAAAGAAAAAGAGAGAGACAAAGAAAGAAAGAGAAAGAAAGAAGGAAAGAGGAAGGGAGAGAGAGAAGAAAGAATGAAGGAAAAGAGACAAAGAAAGGAAGGAAGGGAGAGACAAAGAAAGAAAGAAAGAAAGGGAGAAAGAAAAGAATGAATGAAAGAAAAAGAGACAAAGAAAAAGAGAAAGGAAGGAAGGAAGGGAGAGACAAGAAAGAAAGAGAAAGAAAGAAAGAAAGAAGGAGAGAGAAGGAAAGAGGGAGAGAAGAAAAAGAAAGAAAGAAAGAAAAGAGGAAGGGAGAGACAAGAAAGAGAGAAAGAAGGAAGGAAGAGGAAGGAAGAGAGAGAGAAAGAACGAATGAACCACAAACCCTGGCACTAGACCTGGCTTCAGAAGACGCTTTGAAACAGGACAGCAATCTAGGGCTGGAAGGGACCTTAGAGGTCATCTAGTCCAACCCCCTGCTCCAGTAGGAAACCTTACATCGCCTGGATTATTTTGGTGTCTCTAACAGAGAGGAAAATTGTCAGAAAGGAGAAGAGTTTACTAGGACAAGGCTGCCATGCAGAGGAAAGCAAAGATAATCCTTGACATATGACCAGAATTGAGCCCAAAATTTTGGTTGCTAAACAAGAGGGTTGTTAAGTGAGTTTCATCACATTTTACTCAATCCGTGATCTCTCCTGGCTCTAACAGTCATGTGCAGGCTAGAGAAGTAAATCTGAAGGCGTGTTTAATGTTCCAAATGTACAGAAGTTATAGTTAAATGTGTGGCAGAAAGTGGACTCTGGGTGTGTTTTTCCAAAGGTAATAAGTGAGGTTGAATGTGTATAGTTTTAGAAGAGATGTGTGTGTATGTGTATATACACATACCCATACACATACAGTATATATAGTAAGTAATGTATCTTTTTGTGTGCCTATACACACTCTATACTATGTAATATGTATGTACACATATGGCGTATGTACATAGGATTAAATAGTATATTTTGGATGTTCAGTAGTAGTAAATAAATGGACAGGGAAATTGTATCTCATTGAGACCTTTGAGGCGAGGAGAGGCCAGGCACCCTAACCATAACCCTTGACATGAGTGACGTCAAGTAGGCCACACCCACCCAGTCACATGATCATCAGATAAGCCCACCCAGTTACGTGACCACCAAACCATGCCCACAGTCACGTGACCCCCCCAAGCCATGCCCACCAAACAAGCCACGCCCACAGAACCAGTAGTAAAAAAATTTTGAACCCATCACTGGAATAACCTAAACAGGAAGAACAACCTCAACCCAAGTAATGATTAGATGAAAGACATCTGAATCCAGGACAGAAATGTATTTTGAGTGTTTCAAACATGATCCCATAGTTCTCATGAAACTAAAGAGAGGGAGGGGGGAAGCACATTCAGAGGCACAAGATTCTGTTGATGTAACCTCATGATAAATATTAGCATTCATATCATAAATCTGATCTATCTTGAAAATCTGATACCATCCTTTAGGGTAGAGAAAGTGGTCTTTTAAATAGCTAATTATGACAAGTTTTAATTTAATTTGCTTAATAATAATTGCTGAAAATGTAACAAATTGGCATTTCTGAATATTGGCTGCAAACTTTCATGTTGTGAAGTCAAACTGTAAAATTTATGTCAGAATACAGATGCTATATGGCATCCTGGCTTGGAATTTATTCAGAAGGGCTTTTATATGTAGTTTTCTGAGAAAATGTCTTTTGAGAAAAATTTGTAAAAGGATCAAATAGATTTCTATCTATATTTTCATGAAATATAACAAATCAATATGTATCTGCTCCTTGGTTTTAACTGCATTAACCACACAGGTTCTCAGACAATTTGCAAAGTTGTTCTCTTGATTTGCTATTTAAACATTTGACTTAAGTGATTTGTTTTTCTCTTGATGTAGAGAAAATTATCCCATTTAAAAATGCTACCGTTTTTTACAGCACAAGGAAAGAAATTAAATTAATTTTTTATGTAGTAATTATTATTCTTGTAATAGGAAGTCAATCCTACTTCTATTTTAGGAAAGTTAAACCCCATTAAACTCATTATATAAAAGTGTTTTATGGTACTTTTAACTGATACTCCAATTAACAATTGTATAATTTTTATGGAAGTGGGTTGCTTATAAAGGTAAATTGTGGTTTGCTTAACTATGCCATAAGGTAATTTTATTCTGAATGACTACTTCTGTAGGTTTGGAGAGGTACATTAGCTCGACTCCAATACAAGAGGACCCGAGCTGCCCTCAAGATTTTAAAATGTTACCGTCGATACAAAGTAAAGTCTTACATCTGTGAGGTTGCCCGGCGATTTCAAAATGTGAAGTCTATGAAAGATTATGGGAAGCATGTGAAGTGGCCTAATCCTCCAAAAGTTTTGCGACGGTTTGAAGAAGCTCTACATGCAATCTATTACAGGTAAGAAATTGAAACAATCCCTGTCTTGAGTTATGGAGCTTGGTCAGTGCCACACAGCATCTCCAGAGTCTCTCTGCGGAGTTATCTTTGTAGATTGAATAGTACAGATGCTACTTCAGAATGTGTCAACCACAGAAAGAGTACCATTGCACATTTCTAATGATATGAGTCAGTTGAACATCTTTTCTGAATGAAAATACTAATATTAGTGGATAATTTTGAACTTTTGTTTCGAAATCCTTTCCTTATATCAAAGTCCTGTATGACTTCTTTATTTTTTTTCTCAGATGGAGAGCACATGAACTAATCAAAAATATCCCACCCAAAGATTTGCCACAAATCAAGGGAAAAGTGGCAGCATTGGAGTTGCTTAAGGGCCATCGAGGGGATATTGGATTGCAAAGGGTCTGGCAGGGTAACTACCTTGCATTGGTAAGTATAGTAGAACTTGTTAAAATTCAGTCATTGTTTTTTGCAATACTATAAAAAAAAATGAAAACATAGTAACATGTCAGGAGTAAGTTTCACCAATCAAAAAACACCTATATCAAGATGGATGCCTCTGCTGGAATTTTTCAGTATGCCCCTGTGTCTCCTTAATTTTTTTTAATCACTTGTGGGGGAAATAACGATAATTGGAATAACAGCAACAACAAAAATTGTGGTACCTGCTATCTAGAACAGCAGTCCCCCATATGGTTACTACCCTGATAATATTCAGAAATTCACTGAACATTTGACTATTTTCCTGGCCTTTGGGCACAGTGGTGATTGAACCCTATAGGATGCTGTGCTTGTTGTAGAGAGTTTGACTTTTGGACTTCTATGTTCTGTCTCCTTATCTTTATTCCTGATTTTTTTAAGCTTAAGATAATGGAGGATTATAGTTAGAGTTTTATTATGAATACATATTTGAGATTTTGATTTGGAATGGTAAAGGTGCTCTGAACTTGTTTTAATAATAGATACATTTCTTGTTTCTTTAAGAATCCTGGTAATTCTCAGGCTGCGGGTTCATTCACCTCTGTTACTTCTGAGTTGCAGCGCAAGGACAAGTTCATGAGAATTCTTTTCTCTTCTCAAGTTCGTAAGGTAAGCTGGAGAAAATTGGAAAAAATCCTCTCAAACACCGTGTTTTGGAGAAAAAGTAGGCTTCAGGGGAAAATAAAGTTTTTATGGTTGACAGAAATAATAGGTATTTGTTAGCACAATAGTAAGTTAATTCAGTGGTGATGACCTTCTGGGTAATTAGGCCATGGTTTAATTATTTGGTATCCTGACATTTCACCAGCCAACATGGCTGACATCTTCAGAGTTGAAAGTGGTCTGCTCTGTAGTGCACTTAACTCCCTCCAAGTTCTCTTTGTTCTCTGCATAACCATGATTTCCATCAGTCCTATTGTTTGCTTTGCTCAATTCATGTCTTTTAGAGTGCTGGGTCTCAGAATGTATGCCATGTAACTTGTTTGATGAAAACAGCCTCCTTTTGTTCTTTTCATGAATTCCAAAGCCTGTCTCTATTATTTTTTGCTGTCATAAAATCCTTTCTATGACTTTAGCTTTCTTAGATATTTATTTTCCTATTTATTTTTGCTCGCAGTCAGTATCAGAAACAAGTTCATGTTTGTTGGCAATGTAATGTGCAAAACATAGGTGCAGAGTCCCTAAATTCATAATGGATACCCATTGGGTTACTGCTAGTCAACGGTTTCTAGGGTATATCCTTGTGTATTTGTCACAAGCTTTTTTGCACCTTATGTATTAGTCTTGGATAAATTGCTGGTGTGTCATTTGGAACCCATTGATGGTAGGAAGCACTTGTATAACAGCAGCGATATTTGCAGCTACTTTGTTCTGAACATAGAATATGCTAATAGCAATTATTAGAAGACTAGAAAAGAATTAGTTGCCAGGGTAGTGGAATGGTGAAATAGAAAACCTAATATGGAAGCCTAGCTATTTTGGTGCACCTGGGTGGTGAAGCAATGAGGAGAAATTATGGCTCTGAGGCAGAATTGGCAAGAATGTGTGCAGCCTGTTGATGTAGTGACTGCTCTGGTACTAGTATATCATGATTTCTGGCAAGCCTAAACAATATCTCAATTTAAAAGCTCTCAGATAATATAATTTGTTTATCCTTTTACTAAAAACCTTCAGAAAGACTTTTAAATAAGAGTATAGTGTACTAAGCTAAAAGGATTCTTTGAATAAGACAGCTGTAGGACTCTTCATTTTATTAAGACATTGGTCCATTAATGTTCTGAGACCATTTTGAAGTAATTCCATCAGTAACCTACTTGTGTAGCTTCATTTGTCCTGTAACATTTTATAATTTCTCAAATGATGTTTAGAATCTATTTCTGCTCTTCCCTTGCTACTCCTGAACCTTTCCACAAGGCCCTGCAAAGCAATGGTCAGTATTAATAATCTTTATCTTTTGAAGTCATATTCAGCATGCTCCCTCTGCATGAGCATATTATATTACCAAGCAAAAGGCATGTTGTCATTCACATGATTGCAATGACAATAAATCAGGCAAATACAGATAAAATTAGTATTTCTATCAAGCCTTATTACTATATATACTGTATATTTTTCTCAGCTTTGTTCCAGGATAGTTGATTGTATCTTGAAAAATTTCTTTGCTGTGTTTGTCTGTGCAAAATCAGGCAAGATTTGGCACTGAAATGAAAACATAGCATTTAATGGATTCTTCAGGTTCCCCTTTTTGTCAAATATATTGGGAAAGAACTACTGCTATGTTCAAAATCTCCAATAAAGATGCAATACGTCATTTAAACGTAAGCTTTCTTCTTTTCTTCAGTACAAAGGACAGCTCCTTATATGCAAGTCAGGATGCTGGTATTACAAGAAATTGTGACGTCCTTGTTTTCTTGGAAGCCTGTGTGAGCATTGGTCATTAAATGTGATCAATAACTTGATATGATTCAAGTGATAACAATCCAGAGCAAAATAAAAACAATACCAATAATTACCATATTTTTCCATCTATAAGATGCCCCTGTGTATAGGAAACACCCCCACACACCTTTTTTACCCAAAATTCAGAAATCAATATTTTATACGTTAAATAGAAGACATTTATTCTGCAGAGTAAGACATTCGCTTATCAGTACCAGTATTTATTTTTTTGTTTTCTGACATTTTGATGGGCTCAGAATGCTTCAACATTACCACTCCCAGTTGCATCTGGGCACTGGCTACACACTCTCTGCAGCATCAGCTGACATCAGTTACATAAGGCTCATGATTGGAGGAAACCTATTAGCTTGTCTCTGCAGTCAGAAATTTCGCTTGTGAAGCTAATTTGCAGAGATAAGGTATCGGCAGTTTTGCAACCATGGTTCTCCTCTTGGCCCCCTGTGTATAAGACTCTCCTCCATTTTTAGGTAAATATTTTAAAGAAAAAGTATCATACATGGAAAAATATGGTACTTAACATGACACAAAGTAAGAATTCCTAGATCCAACTAACTGATAACTTAACTTTTTATGTTACCTCTAGCACATTACATTCTGAAATTCTTGATATGAATTGTTTGGAAAAGGGAATCATGTTCAGTTAATTAATGTAAGGTGCAAAAGTTACATTCCTAGTAATTCCAGTTATTGCTGATACAGTATAGACTGGCAACAATTAACTGATTCTTTCAAATCTATCTACATTTAGACAGTCTTGCCTTGATTTTGATATGTTTGAAGGGCACAGTGTTTTGTTCAATAAATTTGGCCAGAAAATATACATCTTAATGACATTCAACTGGCACATACATAGTTTTTTAGCTGCCTCTTTGTATTTTTTCTATATTAACTATAGTGGTTGAAGAAAATAACAGAAGCAAAGCAAGTTAAACATTAATTAGATACAGAGAAGTAGTAATGGTTGCAAGCAAAATACTAAACTTGCTCTTTTGTTTAATGTCAAGGTTCTTTTTCTTGCAACTGAAAGGTCCTCTTTTTCATCTTTACAAGCATTTTTAAAAATGATTTTAAAGTTACTTCAGGGGAGATCTTCTGTTTAAGAAAATAAATTTAATTTTTCTTCTGCCTTTGCACCCCACCCAGTTTAGAATTCCAGTCAGAAATGGTTCCTGGGTTGCCATTTGCTTAATGTCCATACCATAAAAGATAGCAAGCAGTGACAAGGAGGTATATTTATAAGCAATGGACAGAAATTGAGAGTAATAGTTGAATGGGAAGGACATGCAATAACTTTAGAAAAGTAAGAGAAATCAAGATAAAATTTTGTGCAAAGGTGAGCACACAAAAAAGACCAAGAATGCAAAGACCTATTGGAGAAAATTTAAAGAATAAATGTTATGAATATATGGAAGAACTGTGCAAAAGAGATGCCGAAATTGTGTGTTTGCGTGCAAATTCTCTCTCTGTGTGTGTGTGTGTGTGTGTCTGTCTGTCTCTCTGTCTGTCTCTCTGTCTCTGTCTCTCTGTCTCTGTCTCTCTGTCTCTGTCTGCAGTTGCTGTTGTATTAATGGACCCTTGAAAATATTGCTAATATCAATGCTACAAAAGTTGATCAAAGACAAAAATCAAAGATAATTCAGGTAAAATGTCTCATACAGCCATGGCCAAGATTGGAAAATATAGATTTATAATGGGGCACTGCTAAATAATGCTCGTATCTTATAGTTCAACTTACATTCTCAAATAGGATAATTGTTAAGGTTTTGCCATTTATGCTTCAATAGCACATGGAAAAACAACTGCCAGACGTAACAAGAAATATTCAGAAGAGAGATATAATTCCAAGATATACAGGACAATTCCAAGATATATTTACTGTCTTATTTATTAAGACAGATCAAAAACTAAAAATAATATTAATGATGGTTGTGGCAAAACAGGTCATGGCACAATATTGGAAAAATCCAGAGGCTCCATTATAAGATCTCTGATATGGAAAATGGTTGTAACAGAAAATTTATCTTTGATTCAATTTGGGGAAAAGTAATTATTTTTAAAACACATAAACAGCCTCCTTTTCTTTAGCACAGTACATATGAAAGTCGCTGCTGTAATCTTGATTTTTAAAGATCTTTTTAATAGGCATGCTTGTTCTTTAATCAATAAAATATATTAAAATATTTTATAAAATAAAAATAAACTGGAGCACAATAAAGTTGAGGTTAGATGTTTTGGACAAGCAGTGCAAAGGCAGCGGTAATTGGAGAAGACTCTGATTTTTGGAAAAAGTTTGGAAAGCAAGTGAAAAAGAGTCTAACAGAAAAAGAGTCTGATAAAAGATAAAATAGCCAGATACCATCATTGATGACCTAAGTATTGACTTACAAGAACTCAAAGAAACAGTTACTAAAAGATAATTCCAGCAAATTTAGGTCCTTTGAGTCACAAAAAATTGGAAGTGACTAAGTGGCTGAACAACAGTAATTCTCAGGAAAGTGAGTAGCATATAGCAATAATGAGAATGAAAGGCAATAGTGGAGGAGGAATGGGCAAAATCAAGAAAAATAGAACCACAGAGATTTGAGTAAGTTATCTTTAATGTTAGGTGAGAATAAACCTTGGAAATTGTAATTGGAAGAGAAAATATCTTCCTTAGCTTCAAAGTAGCAGCAGACCACAGCAATTTCCCAGAACAGGAACCAGTCACCCTAACAGTATCAGGCATCCAGTAGTGGATCAAAAACATGAAGAGCTGGACAACACCTGGCCTGAACATGATCCATGCCTAAAGAAACTGACACCTAGCAGCACAGACAAACCAGCAGCTGGCTTTCAGTCAAACTGGCCAACACAAGGAAAGATAGTGCTCATTATGAAAGACCCCCACAAGGGAAGAGCACCATCCAACCTGACAAAAACCTGCTTCCCCACAACATAGAAAATCCTATCAGACATCATAACTATCCAGTTTTTGCTATAATTATTAAGCAAATCACAGCAATATTTAAAGCAAACCATGCTGTCATTAAGTGAACCTAATTTCAAAAGCTTTTGACTTTGTCAAAAGCCCCCTGGGAAGGTCACATGATCCTAGGATACTGCAACTATTGTAAATACATGCTGCTTGCCAAGCACCTGGATTTTGATCATATAACCTTGGGGATGCTGCAGCAGTTTTAAGCTGAGGTAACTCATTTTTTACATATCATCATAACTTCAGTCATTAAATGAATGGTTGTAAGTTGAGAACTACCTATGAGGGAGTATTCTTGTGATGACCAGGAGAAATAGTACATGCAGCCTGGTCAAATTTAAGACCTAGCAAAATTTCAAAATTGTGATGACGGAGAGATAGAAAACGACAGTACCCATTTGAAAAGCCCTCACACGCTGTGTAGCTGGGAACCAATCTTGCTTGATTTGAAGACTGTTTATCTCAGATACACTGGTTAAAAATATTTCTGGTGTTTTTGAAATTGAATGGATGGAGGTTGTCCAGCGAGAGCCCTATAAGGAGCAAAGCTTGACAGGGTCCTATCTCTAAGAAACTTAGTCATGCTTCTTTGCCAAATTGGTCTGCCTTGATTGTGGAGCATACAGAAGGCTCTTTGTGGGCAGTGTGTCAGGTATTCCTGCTTCCAATCTACTTGAGACTCTATAAATAGGATCTGAACATCTTGAAATGTGTCACAAAAATAATTAGCAGTTAGAGCAGTTCATGAAAATCTGATGTATATCAATAGAGCGGGTGCTAGAAAGCAATTTGGCTGCTCTATTTTCCGCTTAATTACAATTCTCAACATGGAGTCCTCATTATATCCTGTTTCTAAAATACCAGAAACAAAGGTTGGAGTTATTTCCTGAACATGATCTCTATATGAGGGCCATAGTGTAAGTTTCATTTTCTAGCTTTTTAAGTCAAATGATATATAGAGTTAGCTCCTTTATGTCGGATTAACTCATGGAGATTTCTAATAAAATGGGGTATAATTTAAATATGATGCTTTGCTAGCAAGACAGGTCAGTTTATTGAGATTAGAGAAAGTTTCAGGAAAAAAGACTAAAATGTTCTGTTCTTTCTCTTTCTCATATCTAACATTCTCTCTGCTAAACAACCATCATTTCATGATAACAGCACACAGTGATTAATCAGTGGCAAAAATATTTCCTTTACTCATCTGATGGCCAGATTATCAAAAAATCATTGTTTTTGGTTAGTCTTTTAGCATTCCCTAGACTGAGACCTAGAAGAAGAGTACTCCACAGCTGTGTGGCCAAAATAAAGAAATTTTGTCAGATCCCAAAAGCCAAATTGTTTGGTGAATGATGATATTAGCCTGGCTAGGTGGCTCAGTGACTAAGATGCTGAGCTTGTTGATCAGAAAGATCGGCAATTCGGCCGTTCAAATCCCTAGTATAGGTCTCCTGCATGAGCAGGGGGTTGGACTAGATGACCTTAAGGGCCCTTCAAACTCTGTTACTGTTAAATATAAATCTGAAGCAAATCTGAAGTCTGGGGTAGTTCAATGTTCTGTATGTCTAAAGAATACCTTAAACTGATATTGTTACAAAAGGCTTATATAAATATATACAAATATGTACTAATTTTTATAATACTATTTTCTGTATATATAGTTGAAATAAAATTCAATTCTATAAAACAAAATGTACATGTTTTAAGGAAGAATTTGTCAGATTTCCTTTGTAGCAACCTGGACTTCAAACAGCTAATCCCTCCCCCCCCAAAAAAGTTCTCAGAACTCTAATGCATGCTGTTGGTGTTGAAATATTAAAATTTCAATGTCATCAATTCTAGTGAGCAATCTTATTTTCAAATGAGATCTATATAATGCAGTCCAAGATTCTGGTTTTTACAACAATAATTCTTTCAGTTTGTGTGTAATACATTGTTTTTAAGATAATTGTAATACTAGTGTGAGTTTTGATTATTTGCAGGTAAACCGCTTCAATAAAGTAGAAGATCGAGCAATTTTTATAACTGACAGACATCTTTATAAGATGGACCCCATAAAGCACTACAAAGTGATGAAAACTATCCCACTGTATAATGTAAGTATTATTCTGTTAGCTTCCTGGATATTTTCTTTGGGATTTATTTTTTATGCATTGTAAATTGCTTTAAAAAATTGTGGTTATGCAACAAGGAAGTTTCCATTTGTTGTACTGTTTTCTTGCTATATATAATTTCCAGTGGTTGAAGATTTCAGCATGATTTAACAGAATGTGATCATCTTAAAATAACATTGACAATCCCAACCAGAGAAGTAGATCTTGAAACCCTTATCCAAATTTTGCTTTTAGCTATTGTACCTATTCATGCATTATGATCTCAATACTTTTCAGTATAATCATACAGTATCTACTGACCTTCCCCTGCCATTTCCTATTGTCATAGCAATCCTTTGGTCTGTATTGCTATATTGCTCAGTTTTCCTGCTGTATGTTCACACAGTTGCTTAGTGCAGGATGGCTTATCCCAAGGTAAGAGGTCAGAATTTATTTTAAAGGAAAAACAGTGATATCATCTGCAATCTGTGTTCCTTCATCTCACAAACAATTCTTTCAGGAGCTGGGTGGGTGCCCTAGGGTGGGAAATACATTTCTCCAATTATAATTTATTGTTGAAGTTTTGCCTGTTTTGGGAATGACTTATCTTGAATAGCTTTAATTGCTAAAATCATATGCCAAAATCATATTAAAATAGCTTGGTTTTTTGACACTGTTAAGAGTAAAAATGCTAAGTAGCTGTAAGAGAGAGAGGGAGGGAGGAGAGAGAATAAAAACTATTTATTTTTAAAGTAAGTAGGATGGTCCATTTTCGATTCTTAAAATGTGTACCTTATGATAGGGCCAAAATCTCATTGTTTATGATATTTCTCTTGAAGGTGCAGATAGACAAATTATTTATTTATTTATTTATTTATTTCCATTTCTATACCGCCCTTCTCCAATAGGACTCAGGGCGGTGAACAGCCAGAGTAAAAAACAGAACATACAAAATTTAAAAGCAATTTAAAATAATTAAATATTTTGGCCGTAAATTAAAACAACCCAATTTAAAATCAATTTAAAATTTAACTCAAGCCAGCCCAGCTAGTTGAAATAAATAGGTTTTCAGGGCCCGACGAAAAATCCAGAGGTCTGTTATTGTACGTATCTCTGGGGGGAGGTTGTTCCAGAGGGTGGGCGCCGCCACAGAGAAGGCTCTCCCCCTGGGGGTCGCCAGCCGACATTGTCTGGCGGACAGCACCCTGAGGAGGCCCATTCTGTGCGAGCGTACTGGCCGGTGGGAGGCTATTGGTGGCAGAAGGCGGTCTCGTAAATACCCCGGCCCTAAGCCATGAAGCGCTTTAAAGGTGGTCACCAACACCTTGAAGCGCACCCGGAAGACCCACCGGGAGCCAGTGCAGCTCGCGCAGGAGAGGTGTCACATGGGAGCGCCTCATCGCCCCCATAATCCCCCGCGCAGATTAGTTACATTAGTTGCTGTGAGAAACTTCCTAAACAGTTTCTTCCTTCCTAGCAGTTAATTATGGTTTAGAGAGGACCAAGAGAGAAGCATCTTTCTGTATAATACATTAACATTCTTACAGTGAAAAGTTTAATGAAATCAGTTTACATATTGGTTTTTCAAAATTAGTCAGACTTTTTTTTTCTTTTAGCATATGTTCATTCCTTTAAGGCAGATCTGTGGAGCTTACTTCCAACCAATTTATAATTAGTTTATGTACTGGTCCTTCTTATCGAACAATAAGCTTGACTTCCCCCACGGAAATCTGGAATTTAAATGTTATGAGAACAAGAATTATATGAGACAAATGAAGGCATTTAAATTATTTAGAATTGGAGACTTCCGGCTGTGTTTCCGGTGTTGTCGAAGGCAAGGACCACGAGCTCTGCATCCCCGCTCCAAGTTCTCCCTGTTAGAGGGCTCCAAAAGGAGCCATAGCCACATTGGAGGGTGGTGAAGTAAAGGGGGGCACCTTACAGGTTGAGGAGAGCTGCATCTCTCCTCCCTGACTTGGAAAATCCCCCTCATCCAAAGACGAAGAGCAGCGGACGTCAACACGAAGCTGGGGACAGCTAAAGCACCTAAGAAAGTGCAGGAGTGAACATATTGAACAATGATTGTTTCTGGGTGAGATTATTCTTCTTCTACTTAAAAATTGACCCCAGGGGAAAAAAAATCCGTGATAAGAGTGTCCAAAACAATAATTGGTTAAGCTGCAAAAATAAGCACCTCTGAGATCTATGATGAAAAGTAAGTCGAGAGCGCTATCTACTGATGAAAGGAAAAGTAACTCCTAGACTCTTGGAAATTTATAGAGGAGGAAAGGGATATCTGATATCCGGTGGAGGGCTGTGACCTTTAACTGTTTGTTGTCTTTCATTTACCAGAGGTGGAAATAAGAGAGACATTTTATAAAAGAAACTCTGGGAAACTAGAATAAAAGACCAAAATCATAGAGCAGATTCAAAGAATACAGAAAATAGCTTGGATTATTAGAATATGGAGTAAATGTTGGAATTGACCTGTCTAAATAAATGACTTTGCTTGGAAATAAATGGCATTTGACTGAAATTAACATCTGCTGGAAAAAAGGCACCATGGAAATCTGAGAGGAATGTGCCATCTACTAATGATTGGAAACGTATAACTTTGAACTCTCCTTGAAATAGATTGAGACTTTTACTGTTTAATGTACTTATATTGCTATCATGACTGGAGTTGAAGGAACAGCTATGGAAATGAGAGGATTTTTTAATGAGATGACTTTGTTGTTCCAAAGTATCAAAATATCAATGGATGGTATAGACGAGAAAATGGAAAATATTCTGCAAAGAACAATGAATAAAGACCAAACTGCCCAGGAATTGGTGGAAACAATAGAATGATTGGATGAAATGGACTACTTAAACTAGCAAATTGACTACAAACAGGGAAAAAACAGGGATCAGAAAAAACAGCAAATGAAGCAAAAGCTCAATGATGAGGAAGACCAGACAAATGGCAAGCAAAAGGAGTGGAAAGAACAGATGAAGTGGCGATATCAACAAATAAATCAAGGACTGGAACAAAAAATAGGACTGGCAAACCAGCTGATAAAGGAAGAAAGATCGAAGAAAATAAAACAGATAAATCAACAATTGGATAGACAGGAAGACATCTTTGATAAGGAGACTGAGACATGGACAGGCATTTGGGAGAATTGCCAGCATAACTTTGTGCTGGGAGAAATGCTTAGACTGAACAAGAAAGATAGAGATAAAGATAAAGATGAGGAGTGTGGGAGGCGAGTTAAAAAATGGATAAAAATTGAAACACTAAAGAGAAGAGATGATGGATAGAAAGAATTGCCTTTTAAACATTAAGGGAGCTTGTTGTAAACTGATAGAGGCAGAAATAAAATTAGATAGGGGAAATATTAGAATGTATATTTTAATAGAATAAATAAAAATAATAGAAAGATTAGAGGTTTATAGATGTTAGGCATTTTTTTCCTGCTATTATATTATGAGGATCACCTAAGTTTGATAAATGTGATAATGATTACTATTATTGTTATTGTAATTTGGATTAATATGAATGATGCCCAGAATCAACACTGTCCACATACAATATGGATGTATATTTAAAATTAAAAATTTAAAAAATATAATAAAATATTTAGAATTGCATTTTGGGTGGTTTCGCCTAGCTTCATCTAAAAGCTTAAAATCTCCACTAAACACATAATTTAGCAATTGCTGGGATCAGTTTTGCTAATTATAAGAATCCATATAATAACAGATCCAAGTATAACTTGAATAAAAAGGAACTGAGAGGAACAAATGAAGTGATTAGCATATTCAAATAAAATCTCTCTTCTTCCTCCCCAGTTGGTTATGGAAATGTTTTCAATAATGGTTGCTATGTATTCTGTGATATAGCTAGTCTAGTTCCTTAGCATCAATGGGGCACATTTAGCAACACTTACTCTCAACATGCTGGCCCTATGTGGGTGATTTTGCCCAGTACAATGTTTTTTTCTCTTCTTATTGTATTGAAATGCTTTTTAAAAAATAATAAACCACCAACTTCAAGGTTTTAAATTGCTATCCAGTTGAAAAACATCAAGCCAATTACATTTATTTTTTATTCACCCTATTTCATAATATAAATGGTTAATATATTGTTTGTAGCTTTTATTTTTCTGGAGAAACCCTGGAAATTAGTTTCCTTAGAAATTTTGAAGAGATTAATATTCAATTATTGATGTTTATTTCTTCCTCATATACATCTCATTTTTAATTTTAAATAATATATGGTGTCTGTACTGAAATCAGCCTTGTTGAGCTTCATTTGTCTATCAACCCATGTACACTATCATGGTTTCTAAAGCTTCCTTGTCAACATTGCAATATCCCCATGGGACCTGTTGCCATAGCAGGCATCAGCTGATGTCTGGTTCTCCTTGTTTTCTATCTTAGGTAGCTATATCTGTCACTTCCAACCTTTTAAAAAAGGGATATCACCAAGTAGAAATATTTATTGGGGTGTCTTTGACTCTAGAAGTAGAAACAGTTATTTTTGGATAAGGACAATGATTATATTCTTGTTGCAAAATAAACATTCCAAGATGGAGGAAATTTTGAAATATGGAAGAAATATGTTCACTTTATATTTAGCAAGAGTGTGCTGTATTTAAAAGTTTTCATTTGTTAATGTATAATATATTGTTTTTACTAAAAAGAAAAGTTGTACATAGTATTACTATTGCTTCACACAATTTTTATTAAAATGAGCCAGGATTAATTACTGCAGTCAACCTGGTATATTAAGAATGTGGATTAATGTATTGTAAAATATATCACAAAGCAATAGTCCAGTTGCTTCAGTGTGCAAACCACCATTATTCATGCCATCCCCCAACTATTAGAATAAATTTAAATCAACGATAGCATTCCTAGGCTTAGGTTACATTAATTACCTTTCTGTTTCAAAAATTACCAAAACAAATTGCAGACTGAGACTGCATTTACCTGTAATGTTAAGCCAGAATTCTCCAACAGCACTTCCATTTTCCTCCTTAATCTCATCTCATTGTGAGATGATGCAGCCTAAATTGAGGATTCCTTTAACTGAATATGAAATATTAGCGAACCTTATAAGTGAGATGCTAATAATGTAGTGTACTTGCTTGAATAAATAGGCTTTAAACTGGATTTACATAGTTGTCATTTTTACCTATAAGTATTGCTATTTTTGGTTCTCTTATAACACCAGCTTTCTGTTCCACAGAACATGACTCAGTCTTAATTTTCCCATCCAGATCTCTTTACATTCTTTAAGAAATTAATGGTCGGGATAATCTAAATATAGTGGAACATTCTTGTATATGTATACTTTTGCTATTTTTTAACATTGAAGCTTTTGGAGAATGTTGAATAGGAGTTGAGCAGGGATATCAAACTAGCGCCCCGCAGGTCGGATGCATCACATGCAGGCAACGTCCACCCCAGCTCTGTGAAGGGAAAAAAGTCACAAAACGTCACTTGAAAGCAACCTGACGTGGCAAGTTTGACACCCGTGCAGTAGAGCTAATTATCACTCAAGATCTTCTTATTCATGGACTGGGGACAAAATGATAAGGGCAATGACAAAGTGACGTGGGAAAATTGATATTGTTGAGACACAATTGTTCCATGGTTAATTGCATGTGGGAATCTGGCCTAAGAGAACCATTGTATAATAGATTGCCTTGAAGGCAACAAATACTCTAAAACCCTTGCCTTTAGTCTATAAAGCACATACTACAGCATAAAATGTTGCTAGCTTTAACATTCTTGTTTCATGCAGCTAACAGGACTGAGTGTCTCTAATGGAAAGGATCAGCTTGTGGTTTTCCATACAAAAGACAACAAAGATCTAATTGTCTGCCTTGTCAGTATGCATTCACTTAATGAGAACAGAATTGGGGAGCTGGTTGGAGTCGTGGCAAATCACTTCAAAAGGTAAATATGAATGTACACCTCTGAGTCTGAAACAAATATGAAAGTACTGATTAAGCCAATTGATGGTATAGATAGTCCTTGATTCATAACCATTCATTTAGCAACTGTAACAATGGTGCTGAAATAAATCCATTCCTTGCACTTATGATTCTTGCATCATCCTCATGGTCACATGATTGCAGTTCGGGCACTTTGAAACCAGCTCGCATTTATGACCAGTTGCAGTGTTCTACAGTCAAATGATCAGGATTTGCAATCTTTTTTTGCCAGTTTACAGCAAAAAAAATGCCATTTGGAAGAATGGTTTGCACTTACAACCTCAGTGTTCACTTAATGAACATTGTAGAAATGGTTGTAAAATTGGTCTGACTTGACTTATGACCACAACAATTTACAATGAAAATTCTAGTCTTAATTCTTGTCAAAAGTTGAGGAGTTCCTGTAGTCTTTTTTCTATCCTCTCTCTACAATTTGATTCTTGGAATTTCCTGTCTTCTTTCTTTTTTTAATTTGAAAAATTTCTGACTTTGATTCTGCTAATTTGGTTTGTTTGGCACTATTTGATACCTTCCTATTATTTCATTTTGACCATTGACAAAAATTGGATCTAGGTGGCATGCATTTTTGTAAAACAATGCAAAGGGAACTTGTAAACATGACTTCTAATAACTGTCCTGCATCAGTACAATTTCTTTTGCGACGAGCAATGTGTTCTGCTGTGCTGTACTATATTCTCAATAGATTTTTTTAGGTAGAACTTACATTTCCTGCTCACCCTCACCAGGTCTGTGTATTTGAAAAGCATTCAGCTTCTATTTCATAGTTCCTTTCCCTCCTCATCTCAACAAAAGCCAATACTGCAGCAGGGACCTATTTCTTTTACACTTTAGTTTTTTTCCTTAAGTCTGTTTGAAGTACAGATTTAAATTATGAATTTCTTAAATGGTTTGAAGTACAGATTACTAATAGCTACCATCTTCATACCTTTAAAAAAGCATGTTTTGGCATTCTTATTGTAATTCTTATAGTTTTGGTACACTTTAATTTTCCTTATTCCATGAAACAATTTTAGTTTTATGGAAGATAGGCATTATCATGGAGATACAGTGCTGTGAGCTATCAACCCATTACTTCATTTTGCTTGGCCCTGAGAGAGTCTGGTCTAAATGGAAAGAAAGGTCCATCAATATTACTATTTAAACCAATTTCAGCAAAGAGCCATCATGTACATAGTGAGCTTGGTTTTGAGGTCTTCTATCCATATTAAGTATTTTGTAAAAAATAAATCTGTCAGCTTCCTAGAAAAGCAATTGCACTTGCCCTCTATAATTTTTTGCTAATCTTGCATTAAAATAGCCTGTTTGGTATAGTGGTAAAGGTCAGAAGAACGGGACTGACTAATAAAAGGGCCATAAAATGGAATCAAGCACTACATTTTTTTCTTGTCTGAGTTATGCATTGTTAAGTTCAATAAAATTAATAATTGAACATAAATTTTATTTCTAGAGACAATTAATGCATTCACTTCTTTTTGTGGTAGTTATTTAGAATTTAGCAAAGAAAGGTAAACATAAGGTGAATAGACAGGAATTAATTACTAAAAGACAGATTATAAATGGGAAAATTAAGCAGGTTCCTGAATCTTGTACTCCAATTCCTTTCTTACCCTAACTTCCACCATTCATTTTCATATACACACATGCATACATACATGTAGTCCTTGACTTATGACTGGTTGCTTAGCGACAATTCCAATCTATCTCTGAAAAGCTGCTTATGACTCAGTTTCAAAGTTACAGCAGTTGCAGCACTCCTGTGGTCACCTAAAAACAAAATCCAGGCAGATTTGCTTCTTACAATCTATCACAGGGATGCTGGAGGAGCCCCCCCAGCCTAACTCCCCCCCACATCCTACACCACCAGATCCCACACTCCTCCCCACCCCAATCACCAATCACTCACTTTCTATAGATGTCCAGAATTTGCATTGTGGAAGGAGAACAGGCTGCTCTACCCCTCAATATCCCTAGACTCTGTGACTCTGTCTTGGAAGTGAGTGCCATTTTCGGAGCAGCTGCAATGAATTAACACTTAACATCCACAGTTGGGTTAGCAGAGATGACAGTTTTTAAGTGAGGTGGTCATATGGCCTTACTTAAAGACCATCATGACTTGCAACCATAATAAGCAGGTTCCATTAAAATTGTATGATTTTAAAATTGTATCATTAAAAATGTGGCCTGCTTATATTCACTTTTTTTATATTGTTTCACTCTTAAACATTCCCATTCCTGAAGATATATGTATAGAGAGAAGATGAATAAAATACAGGTTGTCATCAACTTACAACAGTTCTTTTAGTGACTGTTCGAAGTTACACCATCACAGAAAAAAGTGATTTATAACAATTTTTCACACTCAGGACCATTTTGTGGCTTGGCAACTGATTCATATTTATGACAGTTGCAATGTCTTGCAGTCATGCGATCCATTTTTGTGACCTTCTGTCAAGCAAAGTCAGTGGGGGAAGCCAGATTCACTTAACAACCATGTTACTAGCTTAACAAGTGCAGTGATTCACTTAACAACTGTGGCAAGAAAGTTCATAAAATGGGGCAAAACTTACTTAACAAATGTTTCACTTAACAACATATATTTTGGGTTCAATTGTGGTTGTAACTCAAGAATTACCTGTAATACTATAGTATGCTTTTCTGCTTTCTTCCCACATCATCTCAATATGAGATATTAAGTTATTTGTAAAAAATAATAAAGATGGTTTACAAATAAATAAAACAAAACAAATCCAAATCTGAGATCTGGTTGTGGTTCCTCCTAGCCTTATTGCCTAGTTGATTGTTTATAGGAATTATTGATATCATGCTGATTACTGAGTTCGTAAGTTTTTCTCTATGCTAGAAGGTACAATACTGCATGATTTTTTTTTAAAAAAAAACTATTCATATGTATACATACACACACACGAACATTCACATACACCCGTTAGTCTCAGGATAAACATATATAAAGTACAGAAAATGAGAAAAAATTGTAAACTAAAGAAATCAAACACAAGGAAAAAAAGGAAAAGAAGAAGAAAACCTAACCAAATCTGGTTTATATCCACACAGTTCTCAGTACTACTTCATAATGTCTGTCTTTGCACCTGAATAGTACAGTATAACTTCACAGTATAATTCCATAGGGTAGTACTCTTCATAACATGATTCTTTTCAATCGGTTACAAAAAGTTTCAGCATAATTTTCTTGAAGCCTACTTTCCATTCATTCACTTGGGAGATTAATTAATAGACTAATATTTTTTTTCACACATACAGAACTTGCAGGTGTTCTTTTCTGCAGTTTTCTTTCATGTCCATTTTTCTGCTTTCAACATTAACAATAACTATTCTGTCTTGCATTCAAAACCTTTCATCATTCACAGATCCTTCATTAATTCTCTCAATCTTTCGTCACTGTCAAGTACTGCTTTTAGATTCATCTTTGGCCATATTGAAACTAGCTAACCTTTTTCTAACCAGATGCCAAACAATAATCATTCTCATTCTTCTTTGGCTGAATCACTTTTTCTGTATGCTGTCATCTCATTTCCACCTGTCCATTCTACTTAACTAATAGGATGACTTGCATTCATTCAGAATACAACTTTTCTTTAGATCACAGTCCTAAGTGGTTAGCACATTAGGAGCAGTATGCCTCAACTAAAATCTGAATTTTACCGCAGGTGCACTTATGTTATACTATTAAAGGAAGGAACATTCATCTAAAATAACCTGAAAGCCAACTTACATTACCCAATATCACACATGAAGTATATGAAGTGAACTGACACATTTAGGATACAGAAAGGAAGAAAGATACTGTGATCTAAGTACCCAGATGCCCTATTTAACCAATGATCAAACTTGATGTTGAGATGAGCTTGAATGTGTTATGATGGAGGGGGGTGCAGAGGGAGGGAAACTCATCACTGCAAACAGTGTCCTTCCCATTTTAAATGTGCACAGACAAGCTGTTTGACTGAATGGAAAAAATGTATTTGCAGTATAAAGAATTCTGTGCAATGAAGATGCCCTTTAAAGAAGATGAAAATTTTGCTCCCATCTTATCCAAAATGACAGTGGGCAGCTTTCAATACAATAAAACCATAAATATAAAAACATCAAAATTAATAAGAGAATTAGATAAAACTAAGAACCAAGGGCACAAGCAGTACGGAGATAGGATTGTCTCTGTTACTCCACCAGTCACCTCCAGAGTAAAGTGCCCCTATTGGAGCCCCAGGCAACTGGCAGAGCCAAGTTTTAATTCCTTTCTGGAAGATCAAATGGGTGGGAGTACATCTCACCTCTGGTGGCAATATATTCCAAAGAGCAGGGCCATGGCAGATAAGGCTCTTCTAGATTTTGCCAGCTGAATTTCACTGACCAACAGGATCCCAGCATGCCAAAGCAAGTGGGGTGGGCCAATCCCATTGAAGTAAGACTGTTCCTCAAATAGAATTTAGTTATACATGTATACATTAACTGTCCTTTCTCATATATTAGACAGCCAAACTATCTGCAAAGGGATCTCTCCTACTGATCTTAATAATTGGGTACATTCACATTGGGAGAGGCACTCCTCCTCAAGAATTATAGCTTTAAAAGAAAAATCACAAGTGAATGATTCCATTATCATTATCATCTCTTAGAAATGGGATATGTAATAGGATATCTGAAATTGCTGGGAGGAGGCAGTATTTTGTGGAATGTGAAACAGAAGATGGCATATAGGGACAACTGTGACAAATTGTCCTCAAATGTTTTGTATGAGAAGAGCAGGCAGGACTGGGGGACAGAGTTAAGCACATCATTAGCATAGTCATTACATTCCCACAAATGGTCCAAGCTCAACCTTGAATTCCATTGACCCTTTCTGCTGCCAATTTAGTATTGAATGTTAATTGACTAGATTTTTGTGTATAGAATTAAGCAATA